CCCCACACCTGCACCCACACACTTCCTCGCACCTGCACCCCACACACACTGCACCTGCACCCCACACCTCCCCTGCACCTGCACCCCACACACACTTCCCCACACCCACACCACCTCCTCACACCTGCACCACACACACTTCCTCACACCCACACCCCACACACACACCCCCTGCACCTGCACCACACACTTCCTCACACCTGCACCCCACACACACTCCCTCACACCTGCACCACACACACTTCCTCACACCTGCACCACACACCTCCCCACACCTGCACCACACACCTCACACCTGCACCACACCACACTTCCTCACACCTGAGCACCACACACACTCTTCACACCTGCACCCCACACTTCCTCACACCTGCACCACACACCACCTCACACCCACACCCCACACACTCACACCTGCACCACACACACTTCCCTCACACCTGCACCCCACACACACACTCCCCACACCTGCACCCCACACACACCGCCCCACACCTGCACCCCACACACCCCCACCTGCACCCCACACACACTGCCCCACACCTGCACCCCACACACACTGCTCCCACACCTGCACCCCACACACACTTCCTCACACCTGCACCCCACACACACTGCCTCACACCTGCACCGCACACACACACTTCCTCACACCTGCACCGCACACACACACTTCCTCACCACCTCCACCCCACACACAAACTGCCTCAGACACACACACACACACATCTGCACCTCCATAGAACCTTCATAACATAGGGATTAATTTATGTACAATAATCACTAGATCATTTATCTTGGATAGTGTTGGTTTAACCAGAATTAATAATAACAATAATTGATAATGAATGACTGTGATGGTTTATTATTATTACAGGATGTCCCATGTATATCTAACACATTTTTAATATGAATATCTAAGAAATATCTTTATATTTAAATATCATTTTTCAGTGTTACAGGTGAATCCCTGAAGATTTGAACTATGGAACGCACGATGTACTAACATGGATTTTGTATAACCATAGAAGATATTTGCGGAGTATACGCCAGAGACCACCACCATTTTCTGTTGAAGGTGACGTCGTCTCCGGACTTCGGCAAATTGCTGTAGCTACGGCAACTTCTGTCTCTTGTGTTCTCATTGTACGACGTCTCACTTGCTTAGATGGACACACACTACCTTCTTCATAAAATATGTTGATAGAGAAAATAGTGTTATGACACAGGGCATCTCTGCATCGAAATACCCTTTCTAATGTTCTCTGACTTTCAACAATAGAGATGTATGTAATACAGTATAGAGTACTATAATAATCTATGATCCACGTTGCCACAAATTTACGCTCCACAGTTCAATTCTGAGATTCACCTGTAACACTAAAAATTAATGTTTAGATATACAGATATTTCGTTGATAGATGTACAATAAGAATGCGTCAGACATAAATGGATAACCCTGTATTTATTATTATTACTGATGAAGTTCCCAATTTTAGTACAGTAGATCATGAAAAACAAAGAGTATATTTGTCACGTGATCTTGGAGAGAGACAGCTGTGATCTCGGTATTTGAAGGTAACTTTGGGGAGGGAAAGCGCCCCCCCCCCCTGCCTCCCATGTTGATGGTTGTTTTGTACCCCAGGAGCAGGTGGTACACGCCTACACCACACCCACGCCTCCTTCACCATCACTACCATGGCCACACACCACACCCATGCCTCCTTTACCATCACTACCATGGCGACACGCCACACCCACGCCTCCTTCACCATCACTACCATGGCTACACACCACACCCACGCCTCCTTCACCATTACTACCTTGTGCGCCACACCCACGCATCATCGCCATCCTTAAGCGAAACACGCACCACACCCATATCATCACCATTCTTTCTGTGATACCTGCACCCACATGCTCCTTTACCATCGCTACCGTGATACACGCGCCGCTCCTTCGCCATCACTACCGTGACGCACACCACCGCCTCGGCCTACCATCACTACCGCACACCACCACGCCTCATCGCCATCACTACCATGTTACACACCACCCTTATCATCACCATCCTACTCGCCCGCCTCATCACCATCACTACCATGACCACACACCACACCCGCCTCATCACCATCCCTTTATGTTACACCACACTTATCCCATCACTACCAGCGATACACCACACCACATATCGTCGCAAAATCCCTACCTGCACACCACGCCATGCCCTCCACCGTCGCTTCATTTTCATACCCGCCTCCTTCACCATCACTACCGTTGCCACCACACCACACCCACGCCTCCTTCACCATCCTTTCTGTATTTCCCACACCACACCCACGCCTCCTTCACCATCACTACCATGGCCAAACACCACACCCATGCCTCCTTCACCATCACTACCATGGCCACACACCACACCCACGCCTCCTTCACCATCACTACCATGGCCAAACACCACACCCATGCCTCCTTCACCATCACTACCATGGCCACACACCACACCCACGCCTCCCTACCATCACTGCCACATGCACATCACACATTCACCATCACTCAACCATCCTCACAATCATCTACAGTCATCAGCTCACTTTCTCACCATAGGCATGTTTTCACTATCAATATTTACAGTGACGAACCCAATGTCACCATCACTTCCGGTCATTACCAACCGAGTTATCACTATTACTCTTTAATGCTAGGTCACTATGGCACAATGTGCATCACTGTACCTTCACTATCACTTCACAAGTTTACATCATCACATTGTTTCCTTACATTTACTACAGTACCACACAGTAACATTCATCATCACACCATACCCTCACGGTCACTCTCCCACCATGCTGTCAGTCACTATACCACCATGCTGTCAGTCACTATCCCACCATACTGTCAGTCACTATACCACCATGCTGTTAGTCACTATCCCACCATACTGTCAGTCACTATACCACCATGCTCTCAGTCACCTTCCCACCATACTGTCAGTCACTATCACACCATACTATCAGTCACTATCACACCATACCATCAGTCACTATCCCACCATACCGCCAGGCATTGTCATACCATACCGTTACCCCCATGATAACACCATATACACTGCAAAACACCTACACCAGCTACACCTCATAACACCTACACCAGCTACACCTCCTAACACCTACACCAGCTACACCTCATAACACCTACACCAGCTACACCTCCTAACACCTACACCAGCTACACCTCCTAACACCTACACCAGCTACACCTCCTAACACCTACACCAGCTACACCTCCTAACACCTACCAGCCCTACGCACTCCTAACACCTGCACCATTCACCTCCTAACACCTACACCGGCCGCACTTCATAACGCCTACGCCAGCTACAACCTCATAACACCTACACCAGCTACACCTCCTAACATCTACACCAGCTACACCTCATAACACCTACACCAGCTACACCTCCTAACACCAGCTACACCTCCTAACACCTACACCAGCTACACCTCACAACACCTACACCAGCTACACCTCCTAACACCTACACCAGCTACACCTCCTAACACCTACACCAGCTACACCTCATAACACCTACACCAGCTACACCTCATAGCACCTACCAGCTACACCTCATAACACCTACCAGCTACACCTCCCATAACACCTACACCAGCTACACCTCCCTAACACCTACCGCCACCTCACCAACACCTACACCAGCTACACCTCATAACACCTACACCAGCTCACCTCACTACACCAGCTACACCTCTAACACCTACACCTCATAACACCTACACCATACACCTCTTAACACCTACACCAGCTACCTCATAACACCTACACCAGCTACACCTCATAACACCTACACCAGCTACCTCATAACACCTACCAGCTACACCTCATAACACTTACGCCAGCTACACCTCATAACACCTACGCCAGCTACACCTCATAACACCTACGCCAGCTACACCTCATAACACCACGCCAGCTACACCTCATAACACCCTACCTCCCTAACACCTACACCAGCTACACCTACACCAGCTACACCTCCTAACACCTACACCAGCTACCTCCTCATAACACCAACACCATCTATGTACCATGATAACAAGTGCTGATCCTCTGTGGTAACACTACATTCCAATTAAATACCTGTTACACCCGTCAAGTAACAGCAGCTATAGCTTTAAAATAACTTACGCTACATCTCCATAATGACACCTTCTACACCCCAGGTAACACCTTGAACAATTAATGTAAACTCCTGCTACACCCCATGTAACACCAGCTCCACCTCCATGGTATCTGCCGCTACACTTCCATGGTAACACTTTGTACACCCCCTGAGTAACACGTGCTACACTCGCGGCCTGACACAGCTGCTTGCCTCAGTCTTGCCCTGGACAACCCTAGAGTCACACCCGTGAAGGGCATCCCGTTCATGAGAATGTCGGAGACGATGCATCCAATCTTGTCAATATATCCGAGGCCACCTTCGGCTCGACGCACTACTTGTGTGGTGTATGATATACCATTTTTCTCTCAGTTTACCCCCGTGTATGATAAACCATTTTCTCTCATTATAAGTTAGAGGTAAGCCTTGCCTTGTGCACGTTGCTCAATGTGTGTGCACTTTACAGCTATACGTTGTAGTGTTTTGAAGTAGTGTAAAGTATGATTGCCGTAGTGTATAGTGCTTGGTCGTCACCACGGTGTAGTGCCCGTGGCTCTCGTGTGTATATTGCTGCCTGGCTGGTCTTGAATTGCAGGTGTGACTATCTTCCTCATCCTTGTCAGTATAGTTTAACACACCATAATCTAGTATCCCTGTTTTCAAGTGAAAGAATAAAGTAAATTTTATGTACATATAGAAATAACTTTCCATGCAAGAGCGTGATAAACTGCAAGTGTGTAAATAAAAAATGACATATCAAAGTTGGAGTGGCCGACTTCTAGGGTTGGAGCGTGTAGTAGTGTCTTGGGTTATGTTTCAGTTTTCGCTGAACATCTCCGACGACCCCAAGGAGGGCCACAGCAACCTCATCGAGCGGGCCGAGATCGCGCAGCTGGTCCGTTCCCGCATGCAGAGTCTAGGTAAGTTTTGGGCGAAGTTCTCAGTGCTACCCTGCGGCGCCCTCACTACCCAGCTGCAGGGGGATTTAGGTTGATCATTAGTCGCCTCATAGTGTTCTCTTGGACACATCCATCATCCACCCCAACCACAAGATAGACTCTCGGGTAAAGAACTCATAAGGCTTTCATATTCCATACTAAAGAAATCATCCTCTACTTTTATCCAGGAAGGGATAGTTACTTATATTTTTGTTGTTAGGATGCTAAACAGTAAATCTATCTACCTAAATTCTTGGCAATATATTTTTCATAACTCTTAATTATTAGGTTCAGATTCATCACAAAAGTAGCTCGTACTAAAACTAAGGCACTCATCCTTAGCAGATTATGTTGACAGATGATGAGTGTTCACTGTGATCTACTGTGACTCTAATGTTAAATATCAAGTGGCTTAGTTTTCCCTCTTAATTTCTGATGTGGTTATGTTTTTTTCACGTGTTCAAACCTTTTCACATACAAAGAAAGGGGATTTCTTCTTTGAAATTCACATGAACCCCAGAGTTGGAAATTCTCACAAGTAACTCAGATGAGTGAATACTTCCTCTGTTTATTATCCCCTGCAGCACTTGGTTGTTCTTTAGCTATCATAACTCAGCTGGTGTCCACCCACAGCCCTGCCACCTGAGGACTATGACGATGTGTCTGAGAAGCGCAACTCTTTGTCTTTTGTCATCATCAACCCCTCGTGCGACCTCAAGCTGGAGGAAGGCGACATTGTGTAAGTTGTCCCAGGCTCATGATTATATGGTTATCTTCTGTATATTATTAACAATACTGTAGATTGGATTTCATGCTTGTAGACTTTTGGTTTAAAAGAATCATTGATATAAATAATAAATTTTGAAACTTTTTAGGGCTGGAATGAAAATGTCACACAGGATGAAACACATTAAGATTACTGGAACTCAAAGGGCTTTTTGAATTTTTGTAATAGTAAAGTAGGTGTTGACGGCCTACCCTTCCCACCTGTGTGTGAGTTGCCATTTTCCTCGCTGTCACCTGACGTTGTGAACAGCCTATGAGCATGGTATGATTATGGTCGCTGGGAGGACTGGATATCAACTTGAAAACTCTCACTCAGACCTCACGTGTGAATGCCAGTCTCTTGTTAGCGTGTGCGAGACTGAAAAAGTATAAATATAATAACAAAAATACAGTAAAGGATAATATTATACCAGCATTGTGTGGAACAGCCTAATCTCTGCACCAGGGAGTGTGTCTTTTCAAGCTCTCATTCGCTTTTGTGGTCACAAGGGATTTGCATCTACATTTGGGTCGAATTCAAGTATGAGTAGACCTTAGCTCCATAGATCATGAGTTGTCAAGTTTGTCGTGCCTAAGAAATGTATCATATGCATAGAAATCGATATTGTAGAAGTAAGACTCAAAAAAGATAATCTGGGTTTCGTCCTTATGTGGAACCTACAATATCAGCTCAGCCAGTGGTTGAGTGTGGGTCTAAGTTAACCTGAAATATGTCATATTTGTTTATTTTCTCTATACTCACAGGCACAGATATGAATAAATATAAGAGAATGAGCATTGTATTGCGAGGTCGTGCATGCAGACCAAACAGGAGGACGTTTAGGAGAGGATAATTGAACTGACAATAACAAGACTGTTCTCCTGGATGGGTTTAAAATCCACAAACCTACTCCAAATGTGGAAAGACTAGCACACTAGTTCATTATGCATGTGTGACAGAAGCGCACGGAAAATGAAAACGTTTTAGAAAATTTAAACGATAAAATGGCGGAAAAAGTGCTATACAAAGAAAACTAGTCGTCAGTCTTAACCGTGTTTGTCAGTTGTAAACAGAAAATGATGCTGTATGCCTTCCCCTTCATTTTATTTGCTGTATTTATCGTCCCTATGGTCCCACGGCAACGTTGAGATCTAATATTTCATGTACAGTATTCTTCGGACAGGCGTGTCCACACAGGAATAGATAGAGAGGCCGTGACGAAGTTGATCACAGGCTCAATGTAATCACACATATGAGAAATATTTACAAGTTTAAACATAAATAAAAAATTCACTTTAGTAATTTATTAAGAATGCAATATGTATTGAATAATTTAAAAACTAAATTTAGTTATTTTACGTGGTTCGATATTTTATATACTGTATAAATATCCTCATTGTTGACTATAGTAGATCTTTACCATAGAAATTGGCCTAAGTCGGTCAGGCAGAAACGACACATTTCATTTAAGTGAGATGGGTTGGAAAAATTGACAGTTCTTGGAAAAAATTACTGAAACGGGGAAAGTTGACGGAAAAGTGCTGGTGACGGCGCCTTCACCCCTACGCCCTGCTTGACGTTCCAGAATGTTCATCTAGGGCACCCAGGTTGACGTTCCAGAATGAGCGCTCCTTTTCGCGGCATTGTTTGAATGCCCAGCGCGGATTATCAGATTCCAGTGTAACGGGCCGAGTTCTTCTCTTTTCAATAATTTACCATCCAGATATTCTTTTCTGTTAGTATTCTTATTTATTCATATACTTATATGTTCTTTGTAGCATTCTTTTCAATGAGTATCCTGTTTTATAGTTATCCTTCTTCAGTTCTTTATACATATACTTATTCTTATAGATTCTTGCTTATATTCTTTATCTTTATATACCTTATATTTTTATATATTCTTATATAAGTAACTCTAATGTTTCTGTTTATATTTTCCAAGTCAGTGTTCTTCCTTTTCATTTTCTTTCATATATATTATATTATCTTCCATATGTTTTGTTCTAGTTGTATTCTAAACGATGGATTAACCTGGAAACCATGTCTTCCTTATTACCACACTTATTATACTTACAACGGTAGACCTGCCACCACCCAGAATTTTATTAGAATATAACATATCTTAGTGAACTGTTAGGTAGCAAGCTTCTAGGCACGTGAGTAAGTATTATTTTCTGGGAACCAATGTTCAGAAGGAGTAGAGAGGTGATACTCATAGATTACTAATTCAATATTTATTAACACAGTGAGAGGATAAGATGTGACTTAAATTCACCCAGACAAAACTGGACTCTCAGGTCTTACTGTACCATTGATCAAATAAATCCATAATTACTCATTAATTCATTAAACACTTCAAGTACTTATTACCTCATTAAACAACTCCAAGTACCTGGTATATCATTTGACTATTTCAATACTCATTACTTCATGACAACGGTGGTATTATTTCTCTGACAAATGAGATTCAGGAGTTACTACACACGGTCAGATAACACTGGACCCTCTGGTCGTCCTTTTATAAGTAACCTATTACCTCTTCAATTCTTGGTTATAACATTTAACAAGCATTACATTATTCCATTGTCACTACAGATGATTATATGACACTTGACAATATCCCAAATCAACTTATCTTGTCACATTCTATCGGCATGAACAACATGATACTTTTCCTTCAGTTCATGTACCCAACTCACATAACATATATCCTGGTAATATCAACATTTATGTGTTCACTACTTAACCTGGGATTTCCATATTTCTGTTAGTTAATCCCTCAATCACAATACCATAATACTTAGGCCCATGTAACTGTGAGGAGTGCCCCAGGGTATATATGCCGGGTGTCTCCATAACAAATGACGATCGCTGTTAGGGGGTCGGTTGTAGACAGACACACTCCAGGGGAGCTGGGGCCTGATTTGCAGGACTTTACTGTTTGATCCTGTCGAATTAACAGCATCGTCCAACCTGGCTACCACCCACGGTAGCCGATGAGTATTCAGCTCAACACACTGGCCTGGAGATACGTTGAGGAAGAGTCACGAATGCATAAATGTCTAACTTCAACTATACAAAACATACGTCTGGCAATGGTTCAGACGACTCTTACTTTCTATAAATCCTTTCACTGGGTAAATGAAAATTTCACTGTTACAACATGAACACTGATATTCACAAAATTGACTAAGTTAAACTGAATTAATAGGCGGCGGGGAACACACGTTAACATACCTGGAGAGACGTTGAGGAAGAGTCACGAATGCGTGATTCTCCCTCGTGTAGAGGTATATACGTGCACCCGTGGGGCAGCTTGGGCCTCCGTATTCATACCAGAAAGGTCGATCTTACCAACAACATACCTTCTCTACCATTTTGGATCACCGTATACTTAGTTATGAACTCCTGTGTTCTTGATCAGGGTAATTTCCTATGTCTATTCATATAATCTAATCAGAGGTTGAGCTTGTCAGGAAAAGGTGGAATATACACGTTGATAACATTAATTCTGCAAGCTCAGGGCTGAGGCGAACAAGGAGCTATTCACGGGGAGACAACTGACAAACTCTAAACTACAACCATCATATTCTCTGATGTTTGGGCAACAAAATAATCTGACTTCAGTAGCAATTGGAAAGTCATGGTCAGTCTTAGGGAACGAAACCGCGGGTATCGTTTGTCCTGGCAGACTCAACACTCACTTACCTACCCAATGTTACTAACAATAAAGACAGTTAAAGCGTTCAACATCACTCGCAAAGGATCTTGTCTGCTTTAACTGTAATCAAACATATCTAAGTTGACTCAAAACAAGGGTGTTCTCTCTCACATTCAAATTCATTTTATAGAGAGGTTGGTTTCATTAAGTCAGAGAAAATGGGATAACGGAGGACTGAGGTGTCTTGAAGTGATGAGAAAACGGACTCCTCAGACGGAGGGCTCAAACGAAAGCAGAGTTATATGTTTTGTGGGCTATTGAGCGTAATATGAATCGTTTGATTTTGGTGCTAACTGACGTGTATGACCGTGGTCGTTACACCAGCATGACTTTTTGTGTCTCAAGCCACTCGCTCCCCCCATACAGATTTTTTCAGGGCCGAAACAAATCGTAATATAAGCAATTTTGTTCAAAATTTCAGTATAGGTACTCCTGAGCATGCCGATTCTGAATCTATTATTGAAAGCTCCATTGTGTTTTAATTAGTGGTCGTAATGATGCTTAAAATATTATAATGACATTTTTCTCAATTCTTATTTCAGTACTCGCCAACTATTGGTTTCCAAGGTGATTGGCTGACATTGTTGTTTTTCTGGATGTACTTAATTACTGAAATTAATCCCACCGAATTTCAAGTCTGACAGAAAATCATATTTTGGTGAAAAAACACGTAAGGGTCCCCCCCTCACAGATTTTTTCATGGATGAGAGAAATCTCAGTATGTGCAATTTTTTTCAAAATCTCAGTACAAGTATAGGTACTCCTGAGCATGCCGATTCCGAATTTATTATCGACACTTCGATTGCGGAATAATTAATGGTCGAAATGACACATGGATTATTTTTATGACATTTTTCTCGATGCTTATTTGAGTACTCACCAACTATTGGTTGGTGTTTTTATGTAGTTATGGAGTTACTTAATTACTGAAATTAATCCCACAAAATTTCAAGTCTGACAGAAGATCATTTTTGGGTGAAAAAACACGTAAGGGTCCCCCCCTTACAGATTTTTTCAGGTCCAAAACAAATCGCGATATATGCGATTTTGTTCAAAATATCAGTATAGGTACTCCTGAGCATACCGATTCCGAATCTATTATCGACAGTTCGATGCCGAATAATTAGTGGTCGAAATGATGCTTGGAATATTTTAATGACATTTTTCTCAATGCTTATTTAAGTACTCGCCAACTATTGGTTTCCAAGGCGATTGGTTGACATTTTTATGTTTTTCTGGATGTACTTAATTA